GGCGAGGCACAGCCCTGTCTGGTGCCAGATAAGGCTGGGAGCTGCCCGTGCGGTGGCTGCAGCTCTCCGGCTTCCCGCGATAAAGCTCCCAAGCGAGGGAGGAACCGGTAGTAATGTGCGAGCCAGGCCTGGCGAGAGCCAGGCTGCCATTAGCGTGTGCAGAGCAGAGCTCTCTGCCTTCCTGGCTCAGCATTTCTGCTCCCAGCTCTTCACCAGGAGACATGGGCTCATAGGGGACCTGTGAATTCTGGCTTTGAGATCTCCGCTCTCGCATCACACACAGGAGTGACCTGCCCTGCTTCAGTGGAGGGGAATGGGGATTGGGCATAAAATATGCAAATACATTAATAATAGAGGGGGAGACATACACCAGTCATCACAATGTCTGAAAACTGTACTTCAGAGCCAAATCCACTGTGTGGATTGTGTCTCTAGACACACTTCTCAGATTATTCTCAGGTCTCAGTGTGTTGTGATGATACTTTAATGACTGTGGCAGCAATCTGCAGGATAAAGTTAGTCTTGTGAAATTCTGCTTGTCCGCGATGGGAGGGCGTGTGTATACATGCTCAGGCATGTAACTAGAGCCCTGCGCAGATACAAAATTTTGTATCTGCATCTATAGATGCAAAAATATGCTGAGGTTATCTGCATCCACATCCACAGCTATCTGTAAATTTGCAAGATTCTAGATACGGAATCTTCAAGAATGGGCCGTGGACATCAGCATTCACATCCACGGATGCAAATACCTGTGGGTATAAAGTGGGTATCTATGGATTTCCAGGGCCCTACTTGTAACTTCTAAATAATTGTTAGGATAAACTCTGGAGCAGGTGTTGTCTTCTAGTGCATCTGCATGAGAGGGCTTTCATTGTGATTGGCACCTCTGGATGCTATTGTAGTATAACAAATACTGACTGCTGTGAAGTATGGAGGGCTGACCTTTGCATCCATGCAGACACCCATTGTGTTCAGTGGGGCTCCTGGCAAGAATCTGCCCTTGTAGTTCTTGGTGCAAAATCAGGGTCCCACAAGGCAAGGCTGAACCGGAGCCTTCCTTTCTTTTGGTTTCCCGAATTTGTTTTCGACACATACGCACGGGTCAGACCAAAGATCCATCTAGCCCGGTACTCTGCCTTCCGACAGTGGCCAGTGCCAGGTACCCTAGAGGGAGTGAAGAGAAACAGGTAATCATCACGTGATCCCTCCCCTGTCATCCATCTCCAGCCTCTGGCAAAGGCTGGATAAATACGTAAATAACTACCACCGGCAATTAGACTGAAGCGAAGTGACAAGGGCTTGCATTTCTCCTTCATCATGGCACAAACAGAACACTGTATGGGATCCTTCTTGTGCACTTGGAGATTATTTTGAGCCATCATTTGGCATTGGCCATGGTCAGTGAATGGATCCTGGGCATAATGGGCCATTGTCCCAGTATAACATCCCCAAGCTTTTAGTTCAGTCGAAAGTGGGTGGGGGGAGGAGGAAAAGACCACAACATGCTTTGATAGTTAAACATACCATCTTCCAGAGGCTTGGAGTTTGAGGGGCCGGCGGCAGCTTTACAGCTGATCCTTTGTTTTAATTGTTTGGCTCAAGAATCCATAATGAGCCAAAATTCCCTGTTTGCTGTCTCCCTGCTTGTGGGGAGTGGGTGGTTGTGCTGCAGGCGCTGCTGGTTTGCATGGTTGGAGTGCGGTTTCATGGAGACACTTTGCTGGTGAAACCCTGAAACCTGAGCTGCTTTTCTCCTAACTGTAATCAGCAGCCTGGTACCCATGGGCAGCTCTGCACCTGCACCTCTGGCAGGGCTGCAGCCTGATGTTTGTGGGCAGTGAAACTCTAAACACCCTAGTGTGCATGAGCAAAGAAAGGGGGCAGAATTATTGTTCTGAGGTCCCCTGGGTGCTTTTCAGCAGTGCACTGGAATTTAGATAGCTGATGGTCAGCTGTCTAGGGCAGTGTGAGCAATAGCTCACTTGCTCCACGATCACTCAAGGTGAGATACTTCCCTCCAGATACATGTCACTGGGCCTTGGGGCGGGCGGGAGGGAGGTCTCGAATTCATCTGTTTCTGTGCTGTCAGACGGTTTCCTTCTAGTAATAAAATAGGCCCCAATGACCGAGTCTCCGCCTCCTTCCCAAATGTCTCCTTCATGAGCCAGATCCTCTTGTACTAGAGGCAGGGTAGTAACCATGCACAAAGTCTTGAAGTTCTCTTGTCCCTGTGGTCCCAGGCAGATAGCTGGAATGCTGGTCTGAGCTGGCACCAATGGGTGATCAAGTCAGGCACTCCACTTGGGGTTATCCTGGAAGGTTCTGATCGCCGGTTGGTGCGTAGCTTGGATCTTTGTGAGCATGTGAGCGGCATTGTGACGGCTCGTTCTTACGAGTGCTGCTTGTGTGAAGCAAGTGGGTGAAGTCTTCCATCCCTGTTTTGGTTTCTCCTCTTCTGGAGCACATCTGCGTAGCAATGACTCCTTGGCCTTGAAGTGCTCCCAAAGGGTGGATGGCAGGAATCCTTCAGCAGGTTTCTGAGGCACTGGGGAAATAGTGTAGCCTTCGGATGCGCTTAGAAGGCAGCATTGTGCCATCTTGAACTGGATCCCTCTGGACTCGAGCACATGGATCTTGAGCTCCATGTTGCCCCCCCAGCACTGAAAATGTAAAACCAGGGCAAGGGCAGCTCCTCACCCCAACCCCCCGGGCAGCTCCACATTGAACTCCTGCCACCGTTGAGGTGTGGTAGAGCCCTGCTCCTTGCTGCGTCCCTGGCCAAGGGCTTTCTCAATGCTTGTTGCGTTCACTGAGAGGCAACCGGAGCCCAAACTGCAGGGTGGCTTTATGGCGCTGCGTTTCGGGAGTGCCTGTGCTTAATTTGTTAGGGGAGAGATGCTGGGGCCCGCACTGGGCAGCCAGAGCGCAGCAACTGGTGGCCAAGTGCCCAGCTTGGAAGGCAGAGCTGCCACCAGCACGCACAAGTCAGGCTGGCACGGTGTAATATTATCCACTCTGTGGTGCTGCCTTCAGGGCTGAGCGGCTGCTGGCTGGGAGCGAAGAGGTGGGGCTATGAGCTGCAGAGCCTGGGAAACCCTGGCATAACTGGAGCGCCGAATAGAGCCCATCACTAGTGTGTCTCCGAGGAGGGGGGAGAGGCCAGGAATGGTGGAGATGGCAGGACGAGAGTGGCTGGTGCCGAGGCGGGGCCCACGCGTGTCCGTGGTGCCGTGCGTCTTTAGTGCGCAGTGAGTCGGGGAAGCTTGCAGCAAGGTGGCCTGTGAGGCACAGCAGGTAGCACTGGAGCCCTGACAAAGCAGTGCCAGAGTGCAGGCCGGGGGGAGCTGGGAGGGAGAGGAGAAGGCAGTGGGGATGGTCTGAGGGAGAAGGGAGTGGCTCCATCCTGTGGCCCACGCGTGTCCGTGGTGCCGTGCGTCTTTAGTGCGCAGTGAGTCGGGGAAGCTTGCAGCAAGGTGGCCTGTGAGGCACAGCAGGTAGCACTGGAGCCCTGACAAAGCAGTGCCAGAGTGCAGGCCGGGGGGAGCTGGGAGGGAGAGGAGAAGGCAGTGGGGATGGTCTGAGGGAGAAGGGAGTGGCTCCATCCTGTCCCTGTCTCCCCCATCTTCTTGGCTTCAGCTCCCCGAGGAGGGCAGCGACTCCAGCCTCATGCTCCCTGGGCCCAACTCCCTGTGGTGACCTGGCTCCTGCCAGCTTGGAGGATGCTATGCATCCAGGAGGGGAAGGAGCAGGCCCGGGTAGATGTACAGGCATGCTGTTCTGGAGCCTAAGGACACTGTTTCAGAACAGCCCATACCCTCCTAGCAAACCATTGCTAGGGGACATTGACCTTCCTGGGAGATCAATCTGTTCACACACCAAGGCCGTGCTGATTCAAGTACTCTCCTATCAGTTACAAGGCCACCCTTCCCTCCCTATTGCTACATCTTAGGGGATCTAGCAATAGGGAGGGAAGGGTGGCCTCTCTCCTAGTCTGGCAGCCAGCCCTGCTACCATCCTGCTGCCGGCCCCAGCTGGCACATTTAACCATTTAAGTAATTGATAAACCTCAGATTATCGGTTAAACTGCAACATCCCTTCTCTGTGGGTTTTGCTCCTGCCTGATGCGTTGGCTTAGTTGGCGGGATTTCCCTTCGATTGGCTTCGCTGTGTGAAAGGTTAAATGCCTGTGGTTCAAGGCTCCCTTTGGTCCTGCTCCAGGGGATGAATCACTTGCTGATTACTGCTCTGCTCATCCTCTGAGGCATCTGGCCACCGTTGGAAGCCAGGATACTGGGCTAGACGGGCCTTTGGTCTGTGTGACGGCCTCCTGTTCTCTCTGCTCTGGGGGCGGGGAGCTTGGCTCCATAATGCAAAGTCTGGTGACGTTCTGCAGGTAACATTGCCACCAAAGCCATGCTGGTCAGCGCTGAGCCCAGCTGCTGCTCATGCCTGTAGCTTTTGTTATAGACACTTGCCTGCTGGGTGCAAGGCTGAGATCAAACTCCCGTTGCATAGGCTGCCCGATAGCTGACTGGCTAGAACTTCTGTCACTGTTGGCTCTGCGCTCCAGGGGTGTCCTGTAAGGGGGGGTGCTCAGCAGCAGGCTGATCCTTCACAAGCCTTCCTTCTCTTGCAGGTGAAAAGGAAGTTAGACCTGGAGACCGATCACCAGTACATAGCAGAGAGCATCCAGACTTCCCGGGGCAAAGCGAAAGGTACAGGTGCCGCTTCCTGCTGCCTCTACTCATTCAGAGCTCTGACCAGCTACTGCATCCCCCCTCCAAGTGGCCTAGTGGGACCGAGTCCTCAGTGTCATGGCTGAGCTGAGCTGTGGGGCTTGGGACCGAGGCGTGTGGGATCCGTTGTCCTCTGGAGATCAGGCTCTGCAGTTGGTGCAGCACCTCTCCCTTCCCCCACTCCCTTCCCTCGCTGTGCAGAGCTGGCTCTAGGACGTCCTGAGCCAGCCCAACGCTAGTCGGGGTAATGGGGGTAAATTCAAGCGTTGTGGGTGCCAGGTCCCGCTCTGCCTGCCCTTTTCCCACCGGTCGGGTGTAACTCTGCGTGAGTCACTGCGCTGCCCAGTCCAGCAGGCTGAGCTGCGGGTTCTTAGCGGCGCCTCACGTGGATCTGGAATTGGTCTTGGGCTCTCAAGTTGTCAGGTGGCAGTGGCAGAGTAGCCAGCCACAGGCGGCTCGAGTGCCTGGGAGCCAGTGGAAGCGTTTCATGCCGGGATGTTAGCCCTGGCAGCAGGAGGAACGTGCTGTGTGCAAAGCCTATGACTGCAAGCCTGGGCTGGCAAACTATCCGGGTCTGTGCCAGGCTGCCCTGCGGAGGCGCTGGACGTGCAGCACATGGAGGCTGCGGGTCCAGTGGCCGGGGTGGGATTGGAGCGGATCAGACAGGCCTGGACCTGGGTGGTTAAAGCAGTAATGGATGTGGCTGTGGGCAGTGTCGCAGGGACTGTAAGCAGAGGATAATGACTGCAGCGAGGGTCCAGTGCAGTGGGATTGGTGTCAAGCAGAAACATCCTCGTTAAGGATCGAGACTAGGGAGCGAAGGGATTGAGTGGACAGCCACCGGCAGGTGCACAGAAAGGACTCCGTACCTGGGCCACAGTGACTCCAGACAAACACGGGAGCCCGTGTGCTGCTGCCGAGCCCCTTTCTAGTGCAGGGCCGGGGGTGAGCTGAAGGAAGCCCCCGGCTCGCTGAGTGTGTGAGTTCTCCTACCTATATAGGGCTTGTAACAAGCCATTTCAATTGCGTGCAGGTGTGAAATCTCCGGGGGAGAAGTCCCGCTATGAAACCTCTCTGAACCTGACCACTAAGCGGTTCCTGGAGCTGCTAAGCCAGTCGCCCGATGGGGTGGTGGATCTCAACTGGGCAGCGGAGGTCCTGAAAGTGCAGAAGAGGCGGATCTATGACATCACCAATGTCCTAGAGGGCATCAAGCTCATCACCAAGAAATCCAAAAACAACATCCAGTGGCTGTACGTGCCAAGCGCCGCGTTGTGCCTGGCCGCAGGGGTGTAACTGGGCGAGGCTCCTAGGGCGCTCTGAGCAGCTCTCTGGCGCTCGGACTCCATAGCCCAGGGAGCACGGTGGGCTTCAGAGCCTGACCTCCAGCCCAGCCATCTACTGGCCCATCTTCAGCGCCGTAGCGCAAGCCTGAGTCTGTCACCCTGGCCTCTGAACCCCGAGAATGGTTCAATAGAGCCAGCGTCCAGGCCTGAGTCTGTCACCCTGGCCTCTGAACCCCGAGAATGGTTCAATAGAGCCAGCGTCCAGGCCTGAGTCGTGCCCATGGGCAGAGCTCTGCAGGCAGGTTCCGGTCCTAGCTACTGGCCGGCCTTTCGTGTCTGGCTGCTGCATTGACACCTGCAGCATCTGAGTTTCACGGGCAGTTTCAGCCTGTTCCCTGAGGCGGACGGGTCTGGGGGTGTCAGGCCCACAGGGCTGGCAGGGCAGCGCCCGTGCTGCGTGTCCCCTAGTGGCTGGCTGTGCAGGAGAAGACTCCCCCTCCTCCCAGGGCTGTGTTGAGGAGCCCTTCTAGCACCCTGTTGCAGGATCTGCCCCACGGCTGTAGTGCAGCCCCCCAGCATGCAGAGCCACTGCCCCTTGGGGAATGGGGAGATGGGAGACCCTGCACTTAGCGGCATGGGCGGGACAGGGTGCATCTGTGCTTGGGGGCCGGGCCGGGCTTTCCTCTGTGTGAGTGGGTGCGTATCATCCTGGGTGCTACTAAAACAGTGGCCCTGGCCCTTGGGGTCCTGCGAGAGCCCCTTCCCCACCCCTCGGCCTAGGCCTGTCTGCTGGCCCCAGATGGCCACGGCAGAATTCCCTGCCTCGCCCTTCCCTGTTTCAGGATTCACTTCCTAGCTGGCCCGGGGTCCTTGTCAGAGCCCAGCCCCCATCTGCGTGTGGGTGGGGTGTATTGAGAGGGATCCGGGGGCTGGAATTCCCTTGCCCAGGATCGCTCTGCGGAGCACAATGGCAGCCTGGATTGACCAGACTGACCCCAGGCTCTCTCTCTAGGGGCGGCCGCTCTGCTGTGGGGCACACCAGTAAGTACCAGGGGCTGGAGAAGGAGATCCATGACCTGCAGGTGGCTGAGCAGCAGCTGGATGACCTCATCCAGATGTGCACCGTCCAGCTCAAGCTCCTCACCGAAGACCCTGAGAATCAACAATATCCTTGTCGGAGTGGGGCTGTGGGTGCTGCTTTGCCCGTAGGGAGAGCGGGGGGGCTGCAGTGCCTGCTCTCATGGCTGCCCAGCTCCCGATGGGCAGGGGAGCTGCCAGGCCCGGGGCGGGCGGTGGCGTCTCATCTGCGCCATCTCCTCTCCAAGTTGCTGGAGAGCACCGTGCTGGCAGAGCGCTCGGAGCGTCGATCGCTAGGCCCAGCGCCTTCAGGAACAGCAGCATGGCGAAGGAGCTGTCGTCTGCTCCGTGTGGCTGGGAGCCTGCTCTCCAGTGGCCATTGCTTTTACCGTAACATTGTCTCCACCAGCCGTCTTGTTCGAACCATACAGAGCTGCCTGCTGCGACAGTTTGGCTGATAACAGCCAGCTCCTATACTGGGGGATGGGTACGTTTATCCTTAAGGGGGGCAAGGCACGATGTCTCGGCGCCTGCATCTTTCATGGACGGCCCTGAGTGCCTGATGAGAAGGGCTTCGGCGCTCGGACTCCCCATGGTTCATCCTGTTGATGCCCTCGGTGGCATTTTGCTCAGCATGGGCAAGTCCTTTCGGCTTTGCTTGCTGGTTCGGCAACATCTGGGCTGCGAACTCTGAGAGGGAGGCAGTTGGCTATGGAAATCTCTCGTGCTATGGAAACGCTTCTGTTCAGGCAGAGGTTTTAAATCTCATAGGAAACCAACACCTCTGGGCTGGATCCCTTCTCTGGGCTGGCCAGTTTGTAGCCAGGGCCCATCCCTGCTCGACTGCCTGATTTCTCATCTACCGCGCAGCCTCAGTGCCGCGCTTGTCAGAAGTTCCTGGCTGCACCTGGGCATCTGCTCGTCCCAGGGGTCTCAGACCACCAGCCCCCTGCCCAGCGTCGGTGCTGGGGGTCAAGGTTTGTCCGGCGCTGGCTGAGTGACCTGTGCCGTGTGACAGCGGCAGCGTCTTGCCTGCAGGGCTTGGGGAGGGGTTAGAGGCTTTGGATGTGGGCGTGTGTCCAGGCGTTCAGATGCTGTAGTTCCACAGGGGATACCTGTGAGCAGCGAGGACCAGGAGGCAGAGCAGGGGGCAGACCTGCACGAACATCTCGAACACTCGAGCGGTTAGGGTGTTCCTGCCTTGGGTGCACCGGGCACCATGCGGTGCGTGGAGCCTCCTACGGGCACTTCTCCCCACCCACTGCCTGGCCTGGAGTAAGTCCCTGCCTTGCCTGGGTGAGCTGAAAGCTTGTGCTTAGGTCTGACCGTTCCCCTGCTGGCTCGGGTAGCTGACTAGCAGCGCTGCCTCTTGTCTGGTGGAAGGGAACAGCCACCACGCAGCCTTCCTTGACTGAGCTCACCTCTGCCTACGTGACGTGCCAGGATCTCCGCAGCATCGCGGACCCCTCCGAGCAAATGGTGATGCTGATCAAAGCCCCTCCGGAGACCCAGCTGCAGGTTTCGGACCCAGCAGAGGTAACCCATCCCTTCGCGCCCCTTCCCGGAGCCCCACTCCCACCCTGTGCATAGGGCCGAAATCTGCCACCTGCCCCATGAACCCAACACTAACCCCCTCAGCTTTGGTAGCCCAGGTCACTGCACTGTCTGCAGCTGGCCTGTTGCTTCCATTAGGGGCCCAGACCCCCCGGGAGGGGCTGGTCTCCGAGCCAGCAGAGGTAACCCATCCCTTCGCGCCCCTTCCCGGAGCCCCACTCCCACCCTGTGCATAGGGCCGAAATCTGCCACCTGCCCCATGAACCCAACACTAACCCCCTCAGCTTTGGTAGCCCAGGTCACTGCACTGTCTGCAGCTGGCCTGTTGCTTCCATTAGGGGCCCAGACCCCCCGGGAGGGGCTGGTCTCCGAGCTGACCTGGAGAGTTCTTGTCTCGCTCCCGCGCTGGGGCCGTGGCAGCGGGGGGGCCGGTGCTCCCTGCCATGGCGTACCCTGCTCTCTGGCTCTATGCTGAGCTGGCACAGCTGTGCCCTCGGCAAGCCCGTGGCGCCTGCCTTCCCTTGCTAGTAAGGGTTCTTCGTCTTCTCTTCCAGGCTTTCCAGGTTTCCCTGAAAAGCACCCAGGGCCCCATCGACGTGTTCCTGTGCCCAGAAGACAGCTCTGGGGTCTGCAGCCCAGTCAAGAGCCCCTTCAAAGCAACCGCTGAGGAATCGTCCCCCGGCTCTGCTCAGGCAGCAGCCCCCCCGCTCGCGCACCACGCCCAGGATGTGAACTTACCACTGCTGCCTGGTGAGCAAGGCGCATGCGGCGCGGGGCCTCCTCCCCGGCATTCGGAGCCTGCCCCGCAGCTCTCTGCGCCGGGGTGTGGCGAGTGCAGGAGCCCGGGTGGGCTCAGCAGTAGGCGCAGGTCAGAGGGACCCAGTGGTGGGTGCTGATGGCTGCAGGGTTGGAACAATGCAGGCGGAATGCTGCTCGGGGTCTCGGCCCACAAGCCCAGCCAGCCGTGTGGCCGGGGGATAGTCCCCCCTGCGCAGGGCGGGGCGGTGGGTGCTGCAGGGAAGGGAGGCTTGACGCCGGGCCCGGTTCCCAGGGCTAGTACCCATGCCTGGTGGGCCCGAGTGCAGCTGGCGCTCTTGCTGCAGCCCAGCCCCCACCCACCCGCTTGGATGACTCGCGGCCAAACAGGCTTGGCCAGGACTGTCAAGCAGGGCTCCTCCACCGCGCCTGGGCAGGAGCCGGGTTTCTCAGTCGGCTCGGAAAGCTCCATTGGGCTGGGAGCTCCGGCCCAGGGAGCCAGGGCCCCCGTAGCTGCAGCACGGCCTGCACGTTGGCCTCCCGGAGAGCGAACCCGGCCCGATTCCCAGGGCCTGCTCTAGAGCGGTGGAGCTGCTCCCGGCGGGGCGGGGCTGGCCGGTTGGGGCGG